TGCGTGCATGAAGAGATCCGAGAGGCCTGCGACCGGAGCCAAGTCGTGTGTGACTAGAGTTGTATAGAGCACCGGGAGCAACGCCAAACCCATCTTCTCCCAGAGGCTCTGAAGCAACGTCGTTGGCCATGGCTGTGCTACCAGTGCCAAAGCGCTTGCAACGCCCCACACGTTGCGCATGTTTTTGGCGGAGATGCTGGCAAGCGCGCCGGCAAGCGCCGCTCGGTTCTTGTTGATACGCAGCTGCGGGTTCCGCTTCGTTGCGCTTACCAGCGACGGCGCAACAACGTCGAACGGCTCGCGCTGCATCCAGTGGTCGATGTGCTGCTCGATCGTGTTCGCCGGGAGGAGGTACGAGTCGATTTCGATGCACAAGATCGTCGGCAGCTTGTTCGTGAACCAACCCTCGCCCGACAGGACGTGCGCTTCGAGAAGCAACACAGATGCAATGAGCCCGCGCGCGTCATGGCCATCCTTAACGTCACCCGGGGCGGGAAGGTCTTTTGTGATGACAGGCCAGCAGAGCTTGATGAGCTCCGAGACAAACGGAAGGTCCAGTCGAGGGCACACGGGATGATCCACGACGCCGGCCAAGCTTGCGACGAGGCGGAAGCCATGACTGAGCGGACGGTCCAAAGTGTGCTTGTGCCACCGAGTGAGCATGGTCGTCATCGCTCGTGCCAACGGTTCCCAGCCGACTGTCATCAGTGTCGCGTGCAGCCAATGTGCGACTGTCGCCAACGGCATCGATGGCGTGATGTCGAGGTGATCGGAAATGAAGTGCGACGTCATGGCGACGTTGAGCGTAGTCAACGCGCTGCCGAGGATGTCAAAGCTCATCTTCGTTGGCTTGCTTGCCGCCTGGATCATGGTTGCTGTGTTGCTGCGGCCAGTGCAAGAATGACCGAAACACCCGAGCCAATCCAAAGCGATGATTTGTGATTGCACGCTCTGATTGGCTAGTCCGATATCCAGTTCCGTAAAGGTAAAGTGAAGGATGCAGCGAGCAGACACAGTGGACGACCTCCAAGAGAACTGGAGAAAGCACGCGTCCAGTGGCTAGACTCGATAACAACTTGGAAGCTGGCTCGGTGCTGTCGAGGCGCAGCGACGAGCCGCTACAAGTACGTACACAGCGACCGCCGACGCGAACCCTCGTAATGACACCATGCACGTCGTCCTCAACTCCAACGTCCTTGCGACGAGCTTGCCGTAAGATAACCATATGGCTCGTTGTCCGTACCAGCAAAGCACAAAGTAGATCTATGTTGAAAGACTCGACGAGTTCGTGATGGCTGCCAGAGCAACCCTACCCTCACCTAAGGCGAAGATGCGTAGTATGCCGCCGCTCTTTCAAAACGCGATACCGATAGCTTGGCCCATCATGTTCAAGTACCGTACTAGGTATACCCTGTCTTGTCCTCGCTCCACAACGTAGTATAATATTGGTATTAAGCGCAAGTGACGCGAGGTCTGCGAGCACTGGCTGTTGCAATGTACAACCACTGAGGGGAGCGAGTTTTTGTATCTTCAACAGCTCCAATAGCCCGTCATGAGTGTACCGAGACGCCCAAGAGAATATATTGAAGCGAGCTAGGCTTGAGCAAACGCTGCAGTAGTTGCTGGACGATTGTAGTTCATGTCGTCCATGTCCCAAACTCCTCCAATATGGGAAGCAAACGCGTCATGTCTTTGTGTGAGCCGCGAGTGCGATGGGATAGGGCGAGCGCGGGGCCAAGCGCGGGGCCGAGCGCGTAGTACCGGGATGTGGGGGACCGTGGCCATAGACAGGTAGATGTGGTGGTGGTATGTACAATCAGATTCAAGTTCTACGCTTCGCTGACCGTGTCATCTCGCTCCGTGGACTTGGCCGTCGCGCGCTTCGTCGGGTTCAGGCGGGCGCGGGCGCCATGGTTTGTGACCTTGAACTTGCCGACGACGTACGGCGCTTCAATGTAGGCAAGGATGCGGTCGTAGAGCTCGAGGCCGAGCGGCTTGCGCTCGCCGCGGTTGCCCCACGAGATGTTGAGGTTCACGGGATGTCCCTTCTCGAGGAAGTTCTGGACACGCTTGTTCTTGACGAGCTCGTCGTTGGCCGCGATGTTGGCCTTGTACTCGACGTCCTTGTCGCCCTTCATGCGGTTCTCGACAACGGTCTTGGCCGCCGACGCCGACTTT